CTCACGCTGTTCCTCCCAGCTCCGTTCCTGCCTTGTGCCCTGTGTATTGTCTTCCCAGCCGCTATCGCTCCTTCGGACCACGGACCTCCACAACTCCACATCACTCCACCACGCAGGTCGATGCACAGTCTTCCATTAAACCGTTACTCTGACTTTGTGCCCTCAGCAGCCAACCTCCATGACCAGTCCAGGAGTGAATCCTAGCGTCCGCAGCCCGGCCTCTTCCTTATCACCCACCACTAACTGTATGTTTTCCCGGACTGCCGCTCGACACCCGGTTCTGCTCCATATTCCTTCACCTGGTTGTACACGTATTGTCACTGTAAATAAATAGAGCACTTCTTGCACCGAAGTCAGCTACCTGGGTCCGTCATTTTTTTACTCGCTCACCTCCCTACCAGAGCGTTTCTAACACCGATTGACAAGATTTACTGATCAAATTAATGTCATAATTAACCCTTTCCATTTTGCTCACTGAATGAGCAAGGACAGAATGTCAGGGTTTTTCATAATTCAACTGGCAGACTGCCATGAACTGAGAGCACCCAGGCTACCAAGAGAGCCTGTGACCTTTCCTTTACTCCCACGCTCCAGACAAACTTTACATTTTTGTTCCAGTGCTAGTGAGGCTCTATGAACAGCAAAACTGGCATCATTTTGTTTGTTTATGTCCAGCACAGTCATATTGTGGGGTGAAGGAGTACTGCACATTTTAGGGTTGCTAATCTAAATTATTAATGTTGTGAGTTATTTGTGGCTGTATTGCTCAGTTGTGTACATGCAGCCAGCACTATGTGTTTTGACTTTCAGTCAGTGAGAGCAGCCTTCTTACAAACCTGAAAACAAACTTTACTGTTCTAGTCTAATCCTAACTTCTGATTTTTAAAGTTGTCATTCATGTTGACTTTGTAAGATTTAACAAGAGCACTGCTCATGTGTGACGCTCTGCCAACAGGTTTATGCTTCATCTGCTCTGATGGCGCTTGAGATGTGACAAATTTTCCTTTTCCCTCACCAGTCAGCAGACAGTCAGACAGCATGAAGGCAGTACCACAGGTTTAATTGAATACTTTAGGGGGTCACAGAGTTTACAAAGCAGCACGGAAAATGGGAAACCCTTTTATTTTCCGGCTTGCACTTACAAGATTCTTATGTACATGAAGGAATTTGTACTTTTTAATGATTGCAAAGGAATTATCAGTATTTTGTGCTTTCCTATATTTGAAGTCTTTTTTTCTGTCTTTTACATTTTGATGAAAGTTCACTAAGTTCTCTCGTGTGTATGAAATGAGGCACAGTATGGACAATACCGGAAGTGAGACTATGATGGTTTTATTTAATGTGTGTGTGTGTGTGTGTGTGTGTAGGACCTAGGCATGGAGTCAACATCGCTGGATGACGTGTTGTACCGCTACGCCAGCTTCAGAAACCTGGTTGACCCTATCACACACGATCTGATTATCAGCCTGGCACGATATGTCCACTGCCCCAAGCCGGTAGGACACACACACACGCACACACACACACACACACACACACACACACACACACACCTACACACACCTACACACACAGATCATCTAACACGAAGAATACTTGGTAAATATACTATTGCTATTGTAATTGCCAATTACAATAAACACACTCGGGCACTCTGCAGTTCTTTGATTTGATTTGATTTGATTTATTCTTTCAAGCATGTAAAGACAGTTGATATGACAACACATAATTTTACACATAATCCAATATCAACTTGCTTATACCTAGTGCATGCTTGAATGGAGTAGGAAGAAGTCAGACTTATCCAGTCCTACCCCATGACATCATCTTACCATCATTGGTTTGCAA